GACCCTCTGAATGCTGCAATGAAAAATAAACATAACAGACCATGTTAAGCAGAAATCAGGATATGAAAACAAGGAATTTTCACATATATATAAGAAAATCCACCTCCAGCACATCTGGAATATGTGGGGGGAGAAATCCTATACCAAGAAAGGGATATTAAAAATGACAGTCAAAGATCACATTTGGAAGAACTGCATGCCAGTAGGAGGGTGCACGAGTGTTTAAGTGATGCATATGCCTATGTTCTAACTTCAAAGTAAGTGCTTAAATCCTTGTGTGAACCGTGAGCAGGATCAGCTACTGCTTGGGCTTGCTCAGAGCCAGTAAGTGCGCTGTGATACCCCTTCTGCACAAGGGTGAATTTATATTGCTTAGAGCACACAGTAGTTTGCATGGTTTGTTCACAAAGAGGCTATAGAAGGTAACAGTGCGGCACAAGTTCAGTTATTCCCAGCCCCCTTCTCTTTTTGTCTTATCTGTACTATGTAGGCAAGAGAAGAGAAATAAGTCAATTAAAACCAAAACCAATCCCTGTGCTTTCACTCATAAGAGGTAGAACTGTCAAGTCTGAAGCATCCCAATTTAAATTTTAGCAGTGAAATTAAACGGTCAAAGTGGTGTGGTTTTCCTAGCAAAATATGTCAAACCAGGGAGAAACTTCAAACAAAAGCCACACATTCTCCATCTGACTGTATACTTGGTTGCCTGCCAAAGTATTCAGGTCTGAGTTTCCAAGTTTACACTTGTATCACGAAATTTTCTGCTTTGAGTTCTTATGGAGAGATGCTTCGATCTGACAGCAACAATGGAAGCCCTGACAGATGATAATGGAAGGAAAGGAAGGGATGGGGACCAGGTGGGGTAAGAGGGAAATACAGCCAGGTAGTAATATGCTAACAAGCTTTTCTGGGGTATGAAACACAGTTTAAGGTTCCCTTACATTTTTCACAACAACTGAAATGATAATGGAAAGTGATAAAGAAAAGAAAGGGTTGGGTCCAGCACATGAACATGCATAACACCGTTTTCTATAATGGTCCATACCCTTTGCCAAAGCACCTTGTGAACAAGCAGAGCACATTTTGGGCATACTTTTTATACATCCAGCCAACACTTTTCAAACTATGGAACATTTTTAAAGCAAACAGCTATAACCTAAATCCTCTTTACAAAGAGCTTGTAATCGAAGGTATATGGCCCTTAAAAGTTAAGTGCATCTGTTAAAGGGAGACCCATATTACAACAGTGTCAAGATTGGATGTTTCAAAGATTACTTAAGTTTACACTAAAGCATTTGAGTATCCAGTTCATATTCTACAATTGTAATGTCACAGTACTTCAATATGCAACTTAGTATGGGGTCTTAAAATAGCAGAGGGGGGCTCCAGAACGTAGTTAAAAAAAAAAAAAAAATACACCAAAAAACAAAAACAACCAAAAAACCAAAACCCTCAACAACAAAATAAATAAAATAAATAACAGCCTCCCACTGCTAAGCAGGACTTGACTGAAATAGAGAGCCCTGCTCTAATGCCAATGCACTATATTACAAAGATGTATGTATGATCTCTATTCAAATATGCTGACTGCCATTATTCAGTACTAGATAGTACTTCTATCAATCAGATTGCTTTGGGATTTACCATGTCTCAGCAAGGATGTGCACTGGATAGACACTGCCAGTGTCATATGCTGTATCAGAGTTCTATGCTCAGCTATACTAATTTCACAAAAAGCAGCCTTACTCCCCTAAGGTAAGGCTGTGATTACTCTTATTTTGCCATGGCTAAGTAAAATCCCTGAGAATACGCAACTGTTGGACATTGAAGGAAACAGCCGAAAGCATTTCTAAAGGAAAGGGATGCAAAACTTTGACTAGTGCAGTATAAGAAACCAAAGCTGTTCATATAAAGTATACAGAGCAAGGGTGCTGTTATCTGGGAATCACGTGGACCTTTATCAGTGCGCAGTTAGCTGTTTGTAAATGTCAGCCATTAAAAAAACCCAGAACAACCCTGACCAACCAACGAACCAAACAAATCAAACAGAAAACAGCAGCCTTCTCTCCAATTCTAAATCTGAAGTCAGTTGCTTGTTCTCTATGACTATTAAAATCAAAAGCAATCCTGTTTGCCAGACTGACATCACAGGAAAAGAGTTGTCTACCAGTGTATTTGCTTCCTCTTGGTCATCTGGTGTACTGCATCCTTAGGGGTATAACCTGGGGTTCAGCTATACAACACTGTGCATGGGTTTCTTTCTCAGTGGTGATCTGACTGGAAATATAGCATTTTTAAGTCTTAGAAGTGCTCAGCACCCTGCAAGAGAAGTGCACGGCGGAGTACAAGTTTTGAAGGCAAGGAGACTTTGCTCAATTCCCTCTCTACAGGAGAAGGCCCCTGTTAACAACAAGCACACAGGGGCCTCCTGAAGCCACGGTCTCCTAAAAACATTCTCAAGCACCAATTTCGGAGTTCAGAAAGACTAACTTTACGTAGAAGAGCAAGACAAGGAAGACTGCTCTGAAGCAGAGTGCCATGCTGATTAGAGGATATGTAATATGGATCATTATCTATTTGTTAGAAGAAAGAAAAACGGTAGGAGTTAGTAATTGATGAAGCTAATGAACTAGTGAAGCTGTTAAGCTTTCTGCCTATGAAATAAAGCCTCCTGACTTTTTGCATCAACTATTGGGTATGATGCACTACTAACAAACTAGTGGTTCTCCTGCTAGTTAAAAAAAAAAAAAAAACAAAACAACAACAACAAAAAAACAAACAAAAAACCCCCAAAACACCCATCCCACAAACCAAACCAAACAACAAAACCAACCAACTGAAAACAGAAAACCCAAACATACCTCCAAGACTTTAAGTGCTGAATACACTTTCCTGCTACCGGAAAAGCTTAGAGCAAAAAGGGAACTCACATTTCATCACAATCTGACAGTTAATTTCTAGAGAAGAGAGATCTCTTCCAGCTGGTATTTTGTGGAATCATGGTCTCCATTACCTTTCCAAAGCATTCAGCTAAAAACTATTACAGCAAAGTTTTCCACGTAACAGCTGAAAACCTTGAGGAAACCACACCGTGTGGAAAGTTACTTGATCTACTTACAGGAGTGGTTTCTTTGCATTCATGCTTAGAAGCAGCAGACAGCTTAATCCCAGAGGTTCTCTACCTCTTTTTTACCACTGCAAGTATGAAATAATTGAATGGAGCTTTGGTCAATTTGATTTTGTACTCAAACATAAATATGTACTACTTAAATTAAGAAAATCCAAAAGACTAAAACCCCCACATCCTTCTGATTCCTCTTGGGAGTACGTACGAACTACAGATAGGCACAACTCAGAGAAGATGACAGGAACAAGAAAATTGCACTGTTCAAATGCCTATTTAGAGTGCTGGTATCTTGCTTTATACACCAAGTGTGAAGTTTGGTCTTATCTTCAAAAATCATATGCTTTTCTTAAAGCTAACAATGCTAGGCTCTTTAGAAAGGCTCAAGTATTCGGTGTGCAGAGAGGCTCCCACCACAGAGCAGTGCAGGGCAGCAGGTCTGCAGTACATTCATTTTACTGACAACATGGGGTTTAGCCTAGCAAAAGCCAATACTTCTCCTGTATGGCAACGCTGACTTCTATATTTATGAAGATTTACTAATTATAAGTACCTTATTAGCACAGTCTTCTCTCCTGCACATGAGTTAAACTCAACTCTTTGCACAAAGCCATCTGAAACCCTAGGTCACCACTGAGAGACCTGCCTTGAATGGGCAGTCAGTAATTCACAGGCAACCTTCTAGTCATCAACACAACTAGGAATTTTGTCCATTCCATATCACTAGCTAAAAGAACTTCCTTATTGTTTTCAATAGCAGCAGTGTTAAGGAGCACAATTTTATCTGTACCAGCAAAATGGGAAAAAGGGCAAATCTTACTTTCTTAATTTCTAGTCACTGCTATGTCTTTTCAAATTAACGTTTGTAATTGGCCTAATGTGTAACAGCTCCATGACAAATTCTAGCTTCACCTACACTTTACTCATTTCATATCCACTTTCATGAAGTAACTGCCCATAACAGCAGTTCAGTAAGGATTTGAATGAAATCTGCCTCTTAAACTGCCAGCTGTATTCAATTTAAAAGCAAATACTTTGTTTTCGTGTGAATTTAAGAAAACCCTAAACCCAAAATAGAAAAAGACACTAAAACTTTAATAAACCAGGATGATGGACATGATCTTCAATTGCTTGTGTGAAGCACTGTTGGAATCAGCTGGGCTCTGTCAGTCTGTGCCTGCAAATTTCTTGTGGACCACAAGCAGGAACTGAGAGGGAGACCATGACTCTTACTGGGAACTGGTCAGGGAAGACTGCACCCAGTTTCAAGGGCTGGTTCCTGGGGAAGCTCAGACCACCAGCCTGTGGTGAAGATCTCTGCAATAACTGGGGAGGTGCTGCATTAAAAAGCTTCAACAGAAATTAATGACAAACTCACCACATACCTTATAAGCTGGCATCTAGCTGCCCATGTTAACAATAACTTTCTCTACCTCTGTCCTACACAGTCGCAGGGAGTGGGCACAGGGCATGGGAAAGCCAGAGCCAGCAGTGCCTGCCTGGGCACCATGTTGACGTCCCAGTGCTCCACTGCACATGCAGCTCTCTCCTAAGGGAGCAAAGGCCAAATTCTGCTTTGTTACTTTTATGAGGTGAAGAGAAATGGAAGTGCACGGGCAGGAGAGAAACATTCAAAACCATTCATCATGGACATAGTTATGACCCAACGACAAACAGTACCTCTGCATTTTAAACACAAACCAAGTGTAACAAAAAAGTACACATCACACATACCCTTCCCCAAAAACACTAACAACACCCTTCCCACCTGAAAAGATAAAATGAACAGAAACAATGTCCAAAAATAAACCAAAATGAAAGAAATCTTTGTTAACAGACACAGTCCCTGAAGTTTTAAGATGCGGTCTTGCTGTAGTCATACTACCTCATCTGACTCCAAACCATGTACTTCATAGAGAGTGTCCAAGATATTTAGCTGCTTTTCCATGGCTGGTAAGTAAATATTGAGGTCCCTCTGCATTCCTTTGTAAAATGTTTCTTCCTGAGGATCACACTCCTCTACAGAGAGAGCTGCCACAAAGTCTTCGTACGTTGGAGCTGCCCTTAAAGCTAACTGGGAGAGGAAACAAAACTGTCAGATTTGCAAAACAGGACAGATAAAGAAATCTAACTTCTAAGACATCCCTCTTTGCACTTAGATTGCATAGCTTTAACGTACTTATGCGTATGTGATACGTTAAGGATTTTTACTGGGAGGGAGGCTAACATCTTTTTATTTTATCGTTTTTATTATCTCTGCACAGATCCCCAGTCCAAGTCATCTTCCAGGAGGCCTGATTTTTAGGGAGTGTTTGTATATCATATTTTGTACTGATAAATAACATACATTAGAAATTAATTAAATACAATCCCCAAATAAAGTGCCGTTTGTTAGGGGAACTCCTAACCCAGTATCACACACTGCTGCACTAAAGTCCCATTCTCAAAATGCTCTTCGGAAAGCTCTCCCCAACATTACTGTTTCTCCCAGTCACAGTCTCTGTCACGACTGTGGGGACGAAGCTTTCCTTTCTCCTTCTGCAATTTCATGATAATTTCCAGTGATAAACACGAGGGGGAGCTGCCAGACTGGACAAAAAAAAAAAATAAACCATTTCCTCTAGCAGATATATTCCACTTCAGCTCCTGACACATTCTGCACTAAACCTTCTTGAATGATCAACCCTCAAAAAAAAAAAAAAAAAGCAACTTCAAAGTCTAATTTCTTAATTTAATAGTCCGGGAAGACTGTGCTGAAAAACACATAATGAACAAAGTGTGCATGCAAGTGTGATCTGGTTTGGCACCAGAAAGCAGGTTCCACCCTGAAAGACCAATATTAAACACAGTGATAACCACAGTCCTCACCATGAGAATTAGGTCTGACAAAGGCATCTATGAATTGTAATGCTTAGAACTTTAATATAGTTTATTAATTACATATAACATAAGGTTGCATGAACGAGACCCCCACCTTCATCAGCAAGATAAATACTTACTGCAAAGACCCCGCGGACAACCCAACCATGGTGCTGCCGTAATGTCTTTCCATAAGCATTGTCTTAAAGGAAAAGTAAATAAGTAAATCATCACAAAGAGAACTTATTGCTTAAAAATGATTATTATATATTCTTGTCACTGGATGCAAATAATGGCTGTTTCTGAGCACCACAGTTATAACTGAATGGAGATGACATGCAGGTTTTTCACACTGGGGTCTCAGCTCTGCTGTCAAATCAAATCTCCTTCGACTCATCCTGAGCAAGTAAGTGTTCTAACAGACAGGAAGGCAAATGTAATTTTTATTTGACTACCTGTGCTCCATGATTAACACCTCTTCTACTGTCTAGATCTCAGTTCAGTGCAAGTCTGAGAACATATTATATGGGGTTAAACAATCCTGCAAGCTGATGGTTAGCTAGCCTCAAACAAGGTGGTTAGCTCAGGCATTAACCAAGAACTCTACCTTCACACCTGAAGGTCAGGTTTTGAGGATCACTGGAACAGAAAGCACCAGGCCTTTATTAAAACAACCCTTACAATCTCTCTTATGAATGCCTGGAGTGTAGCCTTTGATGAAGGCCCTTGTTATGTTCCTAGGCAGCTCCACTTTCACATACGAAACTTCCTATATACAAAGCCAATAATCTCTGAGCCGTAATTTACCATTCTTAGTTTGTTACTGTTGTAATTTCATATTCTTGTGCTTCAGCTGAATTTTTAAGTACCTGACACTGTATCACACTTTCTCTGAGCTCACCTTGAAGAATCACCTCTGTATTTTGCTGCTTACTCAGGGATAACCATGTCAAGTCTAAGGCAGGTTTGTATTTTGTTTTATACTTGCTGTGGGCACTAGCCTAATTCGGTAAGTGTCACAAATTGTGTACTTGGAAAAGATTCCTTCTCTTCTGTTACAAACTCCCTTCTAATTGACACGGGCAGTATCTGGCATACTGCCATACTGGCAAACTTGTGGAGAAAACAGAATGAATACTTTTTTCCCTTGTCAAAAGTATGCCAGTTAAAGGAATCTTTATCTGCTATTAAACTGACATTGACCAGTTATCTAGTAATCTGCTTGAAGGTGGCCATTTTCAAAACAGTGGTTTTCAAAAAAAGTTATGTCTTGGAGATTACTTGCATCATTAGTCACTGCAGAAAAGCAAACAGATTCTAAAGGAGAAAGAAAGCAGACAAGTATGTAAATTCAGAAGCACACAAAGAACAAAGCAACTAGCACTTACTCAGCGCTGTTTGGATATTCTTTTCCCCATTCTTCACTTCTGTCAAAAACCCTTTCAAGAACTTTAAGCCTCTGTCAGGATGAACCCATGAAATAGAAAGAAACCATGTTTATAACAAAGTAACCCGAAGTATAACAAAGCCCCCAAAGTTACAATACAACTCAGAAAGTGCAGTAAAACTCAGAATTAAGTTGTCATTTTCAATCTGGTTTAAAAAAAAAAATGCAGCTACAACCTCCAGCTTCTCTCCCAGCCAATGAAAACACTTTGCTAAAACATTGCTGCTGCAGCCTGAAATCACCTGCCTGATGTTCTGGCCTAGAAAGATCAGTCACTCACTATAACTTCATTTTTATGGGACAAAAGGTTGCCTACTATTGCTTTTGCAGGCCTTTTGGCAAAGTTGCAGAGAAACAGCCACAGATGATGCATTAATCTTGAACCTAGCCAGATTGAATTGATGAAACCTGTGGAAAGTAACTGATTTGCTCCACATACATTAGCTTGCACTGGTGGAAGGTCCCTCACTGCACCTTAGCAGTTCATAGTGCAAGTAGATAGGAGGCTGTTACCTTTTCAGCCACAGGAGAGCCTCCGTAGCAGAGTTTCTAACTTGTGCTACACCCGCATTCACTTCATGGAGCACTATCTTCTGAAGGGTATCAAACTCTTCTTTGTTGGTTATAAATTTCTGGTTTATTTTCTGGAGAAAAAAAATTCAAGAGCCAAAGTTTTAGGTTTTTCAGACAGAACAGTGGACTGTACTGTAAATACCACCTATTTACCAGAACTCTTCCCTGCAAAGGCATACCACAGATCCCCAACCATGTCACACACTCCCCATGGCACCACTGCCTGCTATGCTATGCATGCCTTCCCAGGGCACCTCCAGACACATCTGACTAGCCATGTGGATGATGCCACCAAAAAACCCATCTCAGTCAAAGATTTACATGGAACCTACCATTTCTGTCTGACAAAAACACTTTGTGTTCACATGACATCCTCTACACCAGTGGACAGGAGTTAAGCCAACCTGCTCTCCAAGCAAAGTCCCCGTTGCCCCGTGCTTTAACTACAAGCAAACTACCTTCTGACAAATGCTAAGCTGCAAATTCTCAATTACACTTAGCAGTCATTGGCATGCTTCAGCTTTTTTAGTTTAGTCCCAAGTTTGTCATACACAGCTCCTCACAAAAACAAGAGAGAAAATATATAAGAGGCAGATAAACAGATTCTTCTTCTACATTGAAGGAGTAGCTGCCTATCACTTGACAATAAATATTCAAGGTTTTAGGTTTTTAAATAGTGTTCTCCTCTCTTGCTATTTTCTGTCTTTCAGTGGCTACCTTCAGTAAGATAAGCAAATGTGTCTAGGCACCAAACAAATCTGAATGTATGCAATGCTCCTTATCATCCACTCAGAAGATATGTTTTGCATTTTTTTTTTCCCCTTTAAAGAAAAGTTAAGAAGTCTTGCTATGAATACATCTTCTCTCACAAGAAGCACTTCAAACATTTTCAGACTTGGAGCTGGAAGAACTTCCAGAACAAGAACTGAGGCTGCTGAGGAGCTGCTTCTTAATGCACTAACTTCCTCCTCCTTGGTTGAGGAAAGGGTTCCCCCCTCCCCTCCTCTGTTTGTTTTACAGTAGAAAGTCAATATTGCTACCACCTCATCATGAGTTACAACCTATTCAGCTCAGAATCACAGTCATATTCTTTAGGTGTAACAGATGTGTTATATGGCAGACAATCAAGTGTTTTATAAGCCTGCACACAACAACTGGATTTATCTAACACCGCATGTACTGTAAGAACAGAATTAGGGGCATTTCGGCATTTTGATCTGACAGATGGCAGCATTATCAAATATTAAACAGCCTTGTAGTACTGACTACTACAAAGATTCTTGAGCTTTAGTGTCCAAAAGAGATACTTTGTTAATAATTAAAAAAACAAACAAAAAAAAATATCAGTGCTAGAAATAAGCTTTTACCTTGATGTTACCTACAAAATCCATTTTAACAGGAGCAAAAACAGTTGGTCCCAACTTGTCTAGAAAAAAAAATAAAAATCCATATTTTAAAATTGTGTCTTTTTCCACTCCTCATGTCTGCATGTCTTAGTAACAAATTAATTTCATTTACTGTCTTAATCCTTCTATATGGCAGAATACTAAACAAACAATCGAAGTTCTTTCTTTGGTGTAGAACCAATGTTGGTACAAGTGTTAAATATATCAACCTACACTTCAGAAGGCTTCAAAGAGGGTGCATGCTCACAGGGACCTCAGATCCACTGTTAGATGCAAGGACCAAGCAGGTGGGGGGCTGCACTAACTGGAGATAGAATTCTTTCAAAAAATCATATAGCTAGTACAGCTGATGGTGTGCTGTCAGCCGTACAGGACGTGCAAGGCATCTGCACTGCTCTTTCGAGGGGAAGAAATTGCTGTTCTAAATGAGAATGGATCCTCTATAAAGGGAATGAGTAAGAAACATCTTCAGGTATCAGTTAAATTGATTCTGCTGATAGGAACTGTTTCTACTGTGTCACTTTGGCAGAGAAATTAATTCTACCAACCAACTGCTCCACCTTTTCTCGCACCTGGCAGCAGTCAAAGGGGGTCAGAAGAAAAGAAAGAGCTGCTTACCAAGAACAGGCACAATTGCATAACATGACTCCAGAAACTCTTCTGTTGGAATGCCCTCCTCTTCCCGAAGTTCAATATCACTGAACCTGGTGTCCAGGGCAAGCAGAAAAGACTGTTACCTTAACAACTCCTTTTGTGCAACTTCTAAAGGCAGAATTACATTTCATGCCCTCTTCGTTTTCATAGAGGTAAAATTTATAGTTATATAAAAAAACAAATAAAACCTAGTGAAAGCAAAACCTAGTGAAACAAAACCAACATGGCTTTTGTTTCACTAGGTTAAAAAAAATGAGTGCAGAAAATACACATTCAGTGGTGTGCAAGCAAGGCCTGTAATTACAAACAAGGAAAAAACCTCCCACGCTACTCTGCACAGCTAATTCTACAAAGGATATCTTCTTCAAATACTGTGCTGTAGGCAGCCTTGTTAAATAATCTCAGCAAATACAGCTTTACAGACAGAAGAGTCTTAGAAATGAGTCAATTAAAGGCTTAACAAAGTTTCAATAATCTTTTAAATTGAAATCTGTACTACCTATTGCTCATGACACTGAAGAAGGTAGGAGAATCGTTTTCATTTCTGTCTTCCTCACACAGAGTCAATCCACCTAAAGAATTCATTTCCAACTGCAGCAACTTGTGGGCACCAGAGCTTTCTACAGCTTGCAGCTTGCTCTTTCCATCTTCTTTAATGCCTTTCATTTACAGGAAACAGAAGAAAAAACATAGAAAAAGAAAACAGCTACATACCCATACTGTTATTCCTATTCATCGAGATGCTTTCTATCTGATGAAAGGCACTTGGATATCTGGATCATGCAAGTTTAAAAGCTCTCCCTGCCAGCACTATAACTCTCCCAGGTCCATTGGGTGCATAGACCACATTTCAACCAGTCCCCTCCCCATTTCTTTTAATGAAGCAGACCAAGCACCATGCTCCAGTGCAGGTGAGCCCACACATCTTCAGTGATAACAGCCTTATGAGAGAAGAGGATTGAAGAAGTGATTGGGTGCAGCAGGGAGCAGACCCATATCCTTGAAAGAAAGATTACATCTCACATGGCTCTAACCTCCCCAGTGATGATGAAGTGGCACAGTGTGTTTCCAAAAGCAAAAGAATAACAATGACTTGTTTGCTCCTTCTGATAACTAAGAAAACTGGCTGCTTAGATAGATACTGCTATGACATCAAAGGCTGGCACGTTCTCCCCGATTTGTATGAGTATCTTTAAAGTTCCTCAGAAAAAGAACCAGTGCCCCTTCCACACTGTGGTCTATTTTATCTCTTCTTTGGGGTCAAGCACAGCCATTTCAAATGAACAGAGCACTACACAAGCATCTCCAAAGGATGACAAAGTCTTATATATCCCTTGCATGGTAAGATGTTCTGACCTCATGAAGAGGTGCACAGAACAAGCGAAAAAGCAAAAGCGATATATTCACAGCATCTGCAGCATACAAGCCATGGCTATAGCCCATCTTGCTGCCAGACTGTCAAACTAGCATCCAGTATTTCTCAGGGAACCTGTCTCTCCAGCAAAGGAAGACTTTCAAGTGCCACTGAAGATTATACACCAACAACCTGATTTGAATTAATTTGATTTCCTTGCTTTAGCACTGTATTCTGGAGGTGTTACGCTAAACGGTGACACATGCATATTACTCTGCTGGGACTTACTACACTAAACCAGCCACAGAAATGGAGAAAAAAGGGCCAAGAGAGAATCCATGTAAGAGCAAAATTACCATGTTCATTAACTTGGGCTTAAAAACTTCAGTTGATTTCACCGACTGCATAGTATGTATTGGAATAACAGCCAGGCAAAGCTACTGTTAACGAATGCTAGTCCATTCAACAGGACTAGCAGAAATCATGTGTTACTTGTATAGGTTTACCAAAATTAAGTTCAGCAGCCCTTAACAATATAGCTACCTGGGATGGAATTTTATAGTCAATCACTTCAACAGCCTTTTACTGAAGTCACGCACAAATCTAAGTTTCATGCTATAGCTAAAGTAACGGAAGAAATAAGGTCCTTTCTAGTAAAGTCTTAGTTGCAGAAAAAGGGTTAATTTTCTGTAATGATTTGTTATAGCAATCAAGAGCTACTACAAGGTCAACTCCTCACAGACAGGCATACAAAGCTTTAATGTCCCCCTTCTGACACTGCAGCTCTACATATTAGCAGAGGTGCCAGCATTCCCAGTGGAGGGCCTCTGGGAATAATGTGTCTGTCTACAGCGCAAGAAGAGCCCAAGCTCTGCCAGACTGTATTGTTACGCATGTCAATCAGCATCTAGAGGAGCCTTCACTTGTCAAAGAAAAAAACCCCAACAAAACAAAACAAAAAACAAACAAAAAAAAAAAACCCAAAAAAACCCAAACAACTTTTTGGTTTCCTTCCCCTTTCAGTCCCAAGTTAGCTACTAACAAGGGCTTCAGCTTTGTGGTTATGAGAAGACTTGCAAAGGGCAGTTATCACACTAAAACACACTGACATTCCCTCTCCTGGGAAGCAAGGTATCAGCACTCTCAGAAGCAGCCTACACCTCCCTCCATTTACACTTAAAAAGTAATGATCCTGGATAAAAGCTGATGCATGTATTTACCTGCCAAATCTTCTGCTATGTGATTGTCAGTAGAAACATCACTGCTCCCTTCATTTGTTTCCAGGTTTAAACATTCCAGACTTTTAAGAAGGGTTGTTTGCTCTTGATGGTTAATTTCTACTTTTACAGAGCCATTTTCACAGGGGTTCAATTCCATCTGCCTGAAGAAAGAGGAATAATAATGGTTAGTGTATAAAACATTGCTTGGTAAGCTTCTTCCTGTGAAAACACACAAACAACAGTAAGAGAAAAATCGCAGACAAATTATAGGCTGTCACAGACTGCTCTGAGCAAAAGAACTTGTCTAAAACAATAAAAGGAACCAGGCAACTCGCTGCAGCAAGTAGGATTAATGATTCAACCTCAGTTTGCAGAGTTTGAATATATTTCCAGTGAACTTTATTAAAAAGAGACATATTAAAAAAATAATGCAATTCATTACAAAAAAGAAAATTACAGGCAGGTGTTGTAACCAAAATAATATCCCCTGATTGGTACTTTAAAATACATACCCCTTGCCATCTATTACACAAATCATAGCCTGCTCTCTATCAATGATTTTATGAGCTTATGGAGTAGGAAGCTTATAAGCTTCCACTTATATGGAGTGGAACCAGAGACATAGGATAGAGTACTGAAGTGGGAGAGAGCTGGCTGGTGACTGACCAGTAAGTCACCAAGTGGATGGCTGAGAAAAATAAAGGGGGAAAGGGCTGATAAAGGAGAGACATGCAGTGAACCAGCTCTCTTTTGTTGTGTCAGCTTCCAAGTACGCAATTCTGCCTGCATCCAATACTAGCAATATTAGAGTAAAAATATGGAAATAAGAGATACTAACAAAAACAGATTAGAAAGAGACTGACAGTAAAGAATTTTATTATACCTTTCCGTTGGGGTATGACCAGACAAAACAGCGTGCTTTATCTGTAAGATAAGTGGGGATGGAGAATATTCTTTAAAGCAAGAAGACTGTTATCATGCTTCTCAAACTTCACGTTTTATTAAGCACAAGTTGAAGTCAGCAAAAAAGCTGAAAAACTAAGCATATGTTCCCTAATTCTCTGACCAGGAGGCAGTATAAAGACAAACACAAAAGAGGTGCTACATTATTACACCATTAAAATACTTCTCAGATGCAGGGACATGTCTACTTTCCTACATACACCTTAATATGCTGTTTGCCAGAGATGCTCCAGTTTTGCATATGTAAGTTGTGGATCCAGGACTCAAGAAAGTGCCCTTGATAGCGCTCATAAGCTCTATGATAAGAGAGCTCAAAAGATAAGCTCATCAGCTCCTACTGGCATATTACCACAGATCCGATGCTGCAGTAGCTTAGAAGAGTAATAACTGCTGTGAGCTCCTACAGGGGGCCAACTTGCCATACAGCCAACGTATTTCAAAACACCACTGTGTGCAGCTGGAGCAGGCTCAGAAAGTTAATGTTTAATAACTTCCCCCATCATTAAAAGTTAAGAGATTGGTCACTGCTTATTAAGAAATGGCCCTACCTCACTCGCAAACCACAAGAAATAGCCAAGCATGTCCAGTGAAGGATTACTAGCTATAATATGGGTAAAACCACATTCTCTCTCACTTCTGCAAAAGGGGGCTTTAGCATCCATCCCAAGGCTGAGAGAAGATGATACCAGCCATTACCTTGTTCGTTCTGAGAACTGCTAAATGTGGGGATCCAGGTGGGGTCTGATGCAGTAACTCAGAAGTGAAGGCAGTATTTGCAATCTGCATACATTCTTCAAGAGTCTTCAGGAAGGTGTCACAGGTTGATTTTAACAGAGCTCCCATATCAATCTCACTCTGTGGGAAGAAAACAATCGGAATAAATAGACTCACCACAGAAGATAAATTTGGAGCAACTAACATCTACAAGCCCCCAACTGTTACAGTCATGATTTCTGTTTAACGTGAATTAAAATGCAATGTGTCAGCTGCTCAGAGAACTGACATCATGTATTGTGGGGCTATGCCCCCTCACAGCATTATCACTCTTGTCGGTCTCTTACCACAACAAGCTCAGTATGCTTGCATTTTAAAAGCAATGCCTTTTGGTTACTTATTTCTGGTGTTAAAAGTGTATTAAATATTAAACTTTGATGTATTCAACAATGACATTCCAGAAGACACCACTGGCATGAGAAATGAAAAGTAAACAAATTAAATACAGAATGTTCTGCACACAATAATTTCAAAAATCCCATGAACAAAAAATTACTGCAACTGAAAAACAGGCAGCATGAAGTACCACATTGCCGCAATACTCTTCATCACTGCAAACTGCAGTTATTGATGCTGAAATGCTTTTAGCAATAAATCTTTCCAGTTAAATACCAGCAAGATCAGGGAAAGTGAGTTTTCCTCCAGAAGCATGAACTACAAGCAGAACAAACACCACATTGCTTGTTCATTGTCAAATACCTGTGAGCTGCAAGTTCTAACAATGACTTTTAGTCACTTACACACTACATCATGCTTCTGCACTGGCTGTTAATTCACCATAAACAGCTTATCAGACATCCTTACAGAGACGGTTTGGACACACGAATGATTAACCTTCAGATGTTGTGCCTGCCTGTCCTGCACCTGAGGACCCATCTCTCCAGGGGGAGGCATGCTGGAACTTCACACCAGCTTTTCTAGCAAGTTATGTGCATCCTGCTTCACATCTTTCTCAAAGCAAGGGGCGGATGACTTTCATTAGGAGACCTCACTTAAATGAAGCTGCTTCATCCTGCTTCACATCTTTCTCAAAGCAAGGGACGGATAACTTTCATTAGGAGACCTCACTTACATGAAGCTGGTCAGGAAGATTTGCCAGGTTTGAAACTTTAACGTAAATAAGGCTAATCAGGCAGGGTGCAATATTAAGTAACTGTGAGTGAATACTACATTGGCTAACCAGAAGAGTTCACAATGCTCAAGAGTTTACAGATATGATCTACATCAAACTAGAGTTGTACCTCTTGTTCTGACACACCAGAAATGCTGGCTTCCTTCGTTTTATGCACTTGCTGAACTAGGAGGTTACAGTACAGTCTAAGTTCAGACATTTTGGTCTTCAAGGCTTCTGTGTTTTCAGTGAACTCTAAAAAGTGAAATAAAAGAAGAATTAGATGTATTGTATTCATCCTGCAGTATATGATTTCGGAAAGCTGCAGAAATAGTATTATCCAATCTAATTCAGCCAGTGTTTCCTTATTTCAAAACATTTTCTATCAACTCAAAAAGATAAGCTGGATTTGCCATAAATTATGCTCCTGACAGACAAAATACTGTTTTACTATTTGCCATCATAGATAAGAACAGTGAAGAGGATATGCTCCTAGACTTAGGACACAGAAAAAGCAAGTACACAACACTTGACCTTAATACGCCTTTTAAATAGGATAAAATCCCTACATGTCCTATTTTTTGTTTTTACTAAGTAGTTTAAGAGACAAACAATTAAACTGTTCTGGGTAGAAAACACTGGAGGAAAAAAGACAGATCCAGTCCAACACAAAGGGATTAATTTAACATATATACTTGAATCTTAAAACAGTTGAGGTTGGAAGGGATCTCTGGAGACCAGCTCGTCCTACTTCCCTGGTCAAAGCAGGGTCAGCCAGAGCATTGCTCAGGGCCATGTCTAGTCAGGTTTTGAACACTGCCAAGGATGGAGACTCCACAACCTCTCTGTGCAACCTGTATCAGTGCTCCCTCATCCTCACAACATAAACATTTTTGCTTATGTCTCAATGGAGTTGCTTGTATTTAAATTTATGTCCATTTCTTCTCATCCATTCACTAAGAGTCTAGCTCCATCTTTCTTATGCTCTTCCCACAGATATTTCCTTTAATCATCTTAGTGGCCCTTTGCTGGATTCACTCCCAGTATGTCCATATGTTTCTTGTATTAGAGAGTGCAGAACTGAGCGGATTAATCCAGATATGACTAACAGTCAATCTGAGATTTTTCAGAAGTATTTTTTTTACATTGGAGTCCCAGAATTACCAAGTATATTAATTTGTCTGTTAATAATACTGACATGGTTTAGTTTTGCTAACACATAAGTAGCTTTTCACCCTGTGCTACTTTAAGTCACTTATATCTATAAACTTTGCTGTGCTTCTAGGCACTACACATCAGATCTCCTCTTTGTGAAGGACCTTAAAAGTAGCATCTTCTGCTCAGTTCTGACTCAGTTTGAACTGGTAGATGCCTGGTGAAGATGCACAGAAGGTTATGAAGTGAAGTGATTCCTCACGTCAGGTAAAGGAAGTATCTTCTGCCCCTGCATTTATTCAGGATCACTGATATATTAACAATAATTCAATGTTTTTCCATCTTCTGCGTAGTCACTGTGCTGACATTACGCAAGGTTAAAGCAAGAGGTCTCACAATGACTCATGAATAACACCATACTTGTAAGCAAGAGGGTTTTTCACTGGGGTGAAAGTAAGATTGTTGATGAAAGCAAAGAAGTAAGTGAATTAATGTTCATAGCCTAACCATGATGGCATTTCAGTTTCCAAATACTAGTATGCACATTTAAAAATCAATCACAGAATGTATTCTTGCCTTTTTCCTTCTGTGTCCTGCTGTCAGTCAGACAGGCTTTGGCAGTTCCTAGTGCAACGAGCCACTTTTGCCTTTCAACTGCATTTCTTGCCTTCAGATAGAAGTATTGTTCCCCTGGGATGATCAGGTCCATTCGTGTGTTATCTGCAGGATGAACTGGAAGCAACATAGATTTCAGATCAGTCTCTCACCCCTTTTCAGCCCAACTGAATATCCTAACAGATATGTTATGTGGCAGGTCAAGTAGTAATGAGAGAGGAAACATACAGCCCAAAACTCCCTGTTTCCATTTTATGACTTCTCTTCCGAGTTGGGGAATAGACAGAACACACACATATACAGCTGTGGGATTAAAGGCTATGAAAGGCAGTAAAATCTGGCAGTCTTTATGGAATCATAGAATGGTTTTGTTGGAAAGGACCTTAAGATCGTCTAGTTCCAACCCCCCTGCCATGAGCAGGGACTCCTTGCACTAAACCATGTCTCCCAAGGCTTTGTCCAATCTGGCCTTGAACACCACCGGGGATGGAGCATTCACAGCTTCATTGGGCAACCCATTGCAGTGCCTCACCACCCTCACTGTAAAGAACTTCTTCCTTATGTCTAATCTAAAGATAAAAGGCTATGAAAGGCAGTAAAATCTGGGAGTCTTTATGGAAAGGGAATCCTCTCTGACAAGCCTCTCTTTCAGGTTTCCAGCTCATAACTGTACCTCACACACGTGGCAAACACGCTCTGAGTAAGCAGACCTAGTACTAGTTTATTATTCATATTTCTAGCTTCAGCTTTGTGCTTATGCAGAGTCATTTGAAGCTGTATGACGTTCCACTGTGGCTCATGAAACACAGTGACCCACCTGTAGAATACCCATTGTATTAGAGGCTTGCACCTCTCTAACATTTTCAAAATACTGTAAGAACTGGTATATAGATTAATATATATACCAATACAAATACATACAAAAGAAATCAAGCCACGAAATAGCTCTAGGGACCTGAAAACTCATCTTGAGTGCAACATTACTGGAAAAACTTCATGCAGCTGAGTGTTACTGTATATTAGTTACCTTGAATTTCACACACGGCCATTTGGATGCTTCCCTTACAACCCTTCCAGGCATCTTCCTGAGAGTCATAATAGGAGAGGATGCCACCACAGAGAAGAAACCATCGGGGCTGCCAGCCTGAAAAAAAAAAACCCTGCATTTCTCAGTTACTCCTCTCCTTGCAATTCCACCACCTCTCTCATTCGGGATTCACTGCAAGTAAGGCCCCATAGGTTCCCAGTTCCCCTTGGAAAATTAAACCCTCTAAGTAGTAAAGATCTGTGGACAGTCCTGGATGCTGTACACCACAACCCCTGCTTGCTGGCAGCTACATGTCCTTTCTGCAGGCAGCTGGACTACAGCAGTATGTTCCTGAGATGCCATATGCCATTTTCGGTAGCTCTGCTAACATGCATCACTGACACACTCTCTCCTCCAAACCCACGTTTTCAGTTCACCACCCCTCAATTCCTTCCATCACTCCTCAACCTTCCTCTTCAGTCTTACCAGAAACCAGCCCAGCTGTCTTGCCTTCCTTGTGGGAAGCACTAGTCACACTGTCTTGAAAAACAATGGGCAAGAAACTCCTAAAAATCAAGGGAAGGAGGGGACAGAGGCGGATGCATTGATTTCTGAACACCATCTTTCAATTAAACAGTTCTCAACAGCTCTTGAAACTCCCGTGCTGCCTGCATAAAACGTAGTCTCAAATTAATGACTTGCACTTCTGGATACGTCCCCAGAGAATAACCAAAACACCAGACTAGACCAAAACCAAGAGTTCTGGTATAATTTTGCCCACCCTGCTGCCCGACTTCAGAAGTAAATTACTCCTTTTGTTTTCTTCTTTTGGAAGTACTACAGCATTATGAAAAAATATAAACAAACGAGGCAAGACAGACACCATTTATGTGTAATTAAAAACTACAAGCTCATTAAGTTAAGAAGAAATGAGACAGCAACATCACTGGAGGAAAGTAGCTTTCATTACTGAGCTACAAGTTTCCCTGGCCAGGAACAATGGAGTGAGACGCTGAAGCTCCCACTCCCTGTTGAACGAATGACTGCTCCTTACCCTCTAGGGACCAATTCCTTAGGGTACTGCTGAAGCCAAGCCCAACTCAGTTAAGGTTTGAAAGCCCTAAAGTCACAGGCTAATAGTATGAGTATGGTTTGGGGTTTTTGGTTATTTTTTTAAACAAGCAATACCACTGTAGCTGGGCCAACCTGGTCTGTAGATTGCTGAACCTCAGGGGTGGCTGGAAAACAAATTAAACATAAATCCTTTTCCACACCCTTCCAGAGCTCTTCTATTATTTCCTAGAAGAATACAAAAACATTGTAAATGCCAAAGTATTCTCAATACTTCTTCATTTTATATGAAGATGGAAAAAAATCACAAGAATGAGAATTAAAAAAAAAAACAAAAAAGAAAACAAGACTGATTTTTATTTCTTTTGCCACCAAAATAAAGAAATTATCCTAAAAGTCACTACTGATACAGAGGAACTCACAAAAAAACGGAGGTGATTGTTCTGCAGAGAGAAGCAGTTAATTGCTTCAGACACTCAATGGCACAGAACCAATCCTTTAACTAATGCACAGCGCCACAGTCAATACAAGCCTCTAATTCAGTCTGGAGATCCTGCTGCTGCACATGAATCATTTCAGCCACGGTCCTACAGCTTACAATTGCAGCTGATGCTAAACCAAATTGCATCCCATCAATCAAAGGCTGTGCAATCAATTAGCCAACGTACAAAGCACTCTGCCTCCATCACTTTGGAGGCTGGTTAAAAATATGTTATGAGTCAATATATTTTGTTGAGGTTTTTGGTTGGTTGGGCTTTTTGGCACTGGGTCTTTTTTTTTTAATTTTTTTGAGGGGGAAGTAGCAATTACCTGTCTTCCTTTGCAGAACCTAGCTCTTCTTTATTAGATATGTGTTAAAAAGTCTATGATAGGCAATTGTTAACTAGGACAGCATATGTTTCCAGAACAGAAATGTTACACTAATACTTTTTTTTTTTTTTTTTAGTAAAAGAAAACCAATTTAAAAAGATCCCAGCAAGGTTCTTTCTGTAAGAAGATGCACTAACCACCTGGTACTCACTGACACTGAGTCAGCAGCCATGGGAAGGTTATCCTAAACAACCAGCTAAAAATAGCGTGTGGCTGACAAATCATGGGCAGTGCAACAGGGATACAACCTTCAATTACAGGAGCTTCACACTGGCAGACAAGCACAGAGAAAAGGGAAGGAAGGAAGAAACCTCAAACAACAATAACCAACAACAAAAATAAAAAAGGAGCAAAAAATCAAAGGAGCAAAAAGACACTTCCACAGACACAAGTCTTGGGTTTATTCATTTTTATTCTCTCCCTGTAAACTGTCCTGATAATACTGCAATTTTTGGAACTGAACATTCAGACCTCACCCGATACAGAAAGTTTAAGCTGAACCTTCCAAGGTCTTATTGGTGCTAGCACTAACACAACTTCGGAGAATCTACTAAGCCCATTTATAGTGGTGGTGCACAGACAGGACAAAATATAGCTCGTATTCCCACAGCTCATTTTGGAGGCGCAGAGCCATTAACAATAAAACCTGACCTTGCTGGGGAAAGATGGGTATGAAAAAGCCCCACAATAAAATGCAAAGCACAATAAAAGTGAGTAGTAGCTTAAGGTATCAGCCACAGAAGGAAATTAAGAGATTCCAAACAACTTCACAGACACAGGTTAAGGTCCTAATTCATACTGCACTCCTGTGTGAAACTTATAGTACCTACAGTACCTGGAAGATTCTCTATCATCCACTATAGAAACAGATATTTAAGCAATCTCTGCCTGCTAAGGATTCAGTATGTCTGCTGAGATTTCCACAGCCTGAAAGATCTGCCTACTTCCACCATTACACTTCAGGAAGTCTAGATGTAGCTATCACTGAGCAAACTTGACATTTCTCAGTAACACAGTTGAATTTTGGACATAATTCAAACCTTAATGTTACACAACTAGGCTCCAGACAGCATTCATTCCAAAGTGCCAAGCCTGAAGACAGAAAAAACATTTGAAGACATGCAGATCATGTTAGACATCCACAAAGCCAAACCATCTGGGAGAACTGCATACTCAACAAGTCAAACTGATGACCTGGAAAACAAGCTACAATTAAGAGATGTCAGTTCCAGTTGCATTTCTACAAGGCACAAAGCCCAGACACCCAGGATTTTATTATTGCTTGCTTTCCACTAGAAGTATGTAATACTTTATGCTTACTAATTTCTTTAGCTTCAACACAAGTCTTCATAAAAACTTATGCAACAGACTGTCTTTGGACTTCTTCGACCTTAATTCAGATTTTAAGTGTAGATAGGACATAATTCTGAAATTTCTATGTTATGGCAACATGTGCCCAACGGGAAGGAGAAATTAACACCTTCATCACATCCATTCTGCTAATATCACAGACAAGACCCAAGACCTAGCTGCAGGTGGCAGAGCAGGAGCAGATCCCTGCTTTTCTGTGCAGGATCACAAGAGAGTCCCAGAGTGGCTGCTCTGACAGTCAGAGACATCTCACAGCAAGAATAAACAATATCCATCTTTTCATCCCACCCTGGGCAAAGTAAGCTGTACCATGTGTTCACCGTACCACCACCTACCGCTTTATCTCCCAGCACCCAAAGGCAGAAGAACCACAGGCTCTGCCCAGTGCTGTATTGACTGATAGCTGGACAAGAGCTGCTGAAAACTCAGCTCAAATAGGACCAAGACAGTGATGGCGTCTTGCAAAAAGCAAGAGCAAATCCAACGTATGTCCTTCCCCAGTTGTCAGTGCTGATGTAAGTCCATGAATGCTATCAGCTTCACACCTTTGCTAAAACCCAGCCTGCTCCTGGTTGCCCACATATCAGCTGTTGGCCAGAAGACAGCACCTTCCCCTTGTGCAACTGTGACCGCAGAACACCTGCCTTCCAGGTATGAGGAAAGTCATGGTTTCCAGTTAGAGGATGCATCTAACAGCCAAAACATTGGAACACGTCAAGAGATCTTATTTCCAGTTTAGAAAGAAGACTGATGAGCTGCCATGGACCGTGCCGAAAAAAACCCTGGCTTGTGCACTGAGCTCCTCAGCTACACAACACAAACATTTCATCACCGGCCCAGAAGGACCACTGCTGGTCTTAATGCACCAATGTCCAACAGATGAGGATTTCCCTCGGGAATTAAGGCTATGGGAATCTCCATGTCACACATTGAGGAAACGCTCATTTTCAAGATCCCAGACCACCTGCAATCTCAGCTATTGGGCACCCACACTAAATCTTACAATCCAGTTCCTCACAACAGATTGCATGACTAAGTTCAGCATACACGGTTGTGTGTTCCACGCTGTCAGTCACCACCAGGTTTCTGGTAGGGAAAAGCATTCAGTCAAAGAGTTATCTTATACAGACCAAACTTGAAAACTTTCTCTCTCTTTTCTCATACAACTAACAGAAGTAACACAGTTAAGGGTTATCTTGACATAAGAAATCTCCCCCCAAAACTGCTGCCTGCTTTTTCCATGCAGCCTCCTAAGGCTACCTAGTATTTTGGGAAGGGCAATCCCAGGCAACAGAAACCATTTTGCAGCCTTAATTCTGTAGCAAAACAATTTGTCAGGATTAAAATCTAGTCTGTATCCATGAGGGACAGCAGAAAGGCAGTCAAGAGTGCGTGACAATTCCTGTCTCTCCTCTGAGAGACATCTTCCTCCATCTTCTCATCTAGAGATCAGCTTCTAAAAAATGCCCAAATTGCAATTTAACTCTGATTATGGGCATATTGCAGGAATAAATACCAAAAGCCCCTAACAGTAATGAAGTTAACAGATTTAGCACTTCAACAATGGTATCACTCTTTAAAGCAGTTGTTTGAGGGACAGTAGAGCAACAGCTGGAACCAGCTTTAACATACAGTTCCTCTCCCAAATCATTTTTCTTGCATGGATCCCATAAAATCCACTCTCATTTCAATCACTGTTAGGGCAGTGCTAGCAGCACTGGAGAAAAGCATCCTGCTGTCTTGGGGGATTTGCTTGCAAATGACTTTATGCCAGTGACCTGCCAAGGCACGGAGAACATAATGGA